AAATAAATACGTAAATAAGTATCCTTCTTGGCACCATAGTTGAGAAAAGAGGTTATAGAATAAAGAGTCTGAAAGAGCCTATTCCATTAATGTTTCTCAATGTGTATTGTCATCTACCCCAACAGAAAACGTTTTGGACAGGCAACCCTATGCCTCAATAGGAATATTTTACATCCAGATTCTATGTATATATTCCTCTATAAAATATTAATATTATTTGAAAGATACATTATCAGGGCTTCCAAATAAATGTCCTTTCCATCTCCTCAATGATTCATTGTACATAAAATATAGACAGCACAGCATGTCCTTTGTAGAGTATTAAAGAAATCATTCTAGATTCTGTAAGAAGCGAAATTAGTGTAGAACATACTTTTTGTGATGATTTACTTTATACTATTTCTGAAAAAAGGTAATGAATTTTCAGTTCTCTACAGTCATAGTGTATATCAGAGTTCCCTCCCCTCTCATTAGTTCTCTCCCTGAGAACTATAGTCCAGCTCTTAAATCTTCATTAATGGTATTTTAGATTGTTCTATGTATAGGCTGACATGTGCATGTTTTCATGTGTACAGTGCACAGAAATTTGATACCAAGAAGCTCTAAAATAAAAATGTTAAAAAAAATAACTCTATTAACCATCTATCAACAGTATTGAGCATTTAAAAGCATATGTGAAAGAAGGTGGGTGAATGTCATTAATTGGCTTTGCAAATCCATCAGGAGTAGAACTGAAGGGTATTCTCATTCCTGAAATTTCATTTGTTATGGGCATATGTTGTTATGAACACGTTTCTACCAAAAGTGCAGATGTGCGTGTACCTGCATATTTGTTTTTAGAAAATTATATGAAATTAATTGCCTTCCAGTAGAAGAAGAAGCAGCACTGTCCTCTGAGGTTGTTCTCTCTCTAGGGACCCATCTCCCTCCCCAATTGAACAATGGGAAGTTGTTGGGCAAGGAGAGCTCCAGGGACATGTTTGAGTAAATAAGGTAAATACCATCTATCTAAAGGTGGCTTGAGTAAAAAGATGACAGGGCAGAGGGACGTACATGTTACCCTTACCTGTTCGCCACAAAACTACCCACATGTCCTAGACCTGGATTGTCCATCTTCCTGAAAGGTAGTCTTTTTTTTTTTATGTAATGGGGGCCGGGGGTGCGGGGATAACATTTTTCTAAAAGTTGTGGATGTCCAGCACAGGTTCTCTTGTGCTTTGATCAGAAGCTATTTTTATGTATAACCCAACATTTACTATATTCACATTTTCATACTATGTTACTTTTGTAAATATAAACTTCCATATCCTAATCTGGATTAGCAGGGGTGTGAAACAGATAGATGAAGGTATCTGAATGGAATCTTCTTGGCACTAATGGTTCTTCATGGACAATCTTCGTGATACATGATAATCAATGTAACAAAGAATCCTGACAATGTAAAGTTAGCTATATGGTGCAAAAATGAGGCACCTCACCCATTAACGTACTCCCAGGAGAAAGCTAGTCCTCCAACAACACATTTCCCCACCCCCCTTACTGTATAGGAGAGGGAATTTAGCATCAAAGTCAATCCTAGTGTATTTCATCATTTCCTTTTACTACCAAAATACTTGGTCAGTTTGACAAATGCTAAATAATATGACCCTTAATGTTAATTCACTTTTGCTGTTGTAATTCTGGATGGAAAATTATTCTTTACTCAGAATACTTAATAGTTTCATTGTGGCAAAATTTCAAAATGCAATTTATTATTATTATACAATTGGTCAAGGAATCATGCTACGTGCTCTCTTTTAAATCATCTGTCCAGTTATTTCCTGAGACTCATATTAATAGCCTGGTGTTTTAGAGGTAAGATTTAGTGTTATGTTTTCTAGTTAAGATATTTGAGGTAAAGAAAGTTTTTGAAGTGGCGATTTTAAAATCTTCTACAATGACTTTATGGAAGATCAGTGGGTTATATGAGTTGGATGAATTCAGGAATAATCAGCAGGAAAACATCATAAAGCAGGAGAGCCATGAGCACCACAAAGGGAAATAAATTGTTAATTGGAGACTCTAGATTTGATTTTTCTCGAGAATAATATTTATACCCTCGGGAGACCAGTGACTCCAATAGAACACAGCAGACTTGTTCTTTTCATGTGACTTTTATTTTTCAAAAAAACTTTTTATTGGGAATTGCGTAAAGATTAACAGAGCAAATCCATTGTCCATCCAACAACTCCTACCCATTTTGTTCCATGACATTGATTGCAAGCCCCCAACATAATATCACTTTCTCACCTCTTCCTGTTTCCATTCCTTCACTTTCCTATCCACGCTTACCTTCTTTGTCCTTGAGAAAATCCTGTCTTTTTTATCTAAGATGATTTAATTACTTTAAGGAACATATTACCACCTTATAAATCTCTCTATTGTTGTGAAGAAAATTGAGCTAGAAGGGTGAGCTAGTTCTTCCCAGGCCTGCAGGGTAACTCAGACAAAAGTTCATGGATTTCACCAGTCTCTACCCAAAGAGTACAACTAGTCCTTTTTTTTTTTTAAAGACAGAAAGATGTTGGAATTTTTATTGGGATTACATGGACTATATGCATCACTTGGGTAGTACAGGTAGTCCCAGACTTACAGTATTTTCTAGTTACTCTGAATCATACTTAGGACCATCTCTCTTTTTTTGGCCACATTGTAAAGGTGCCCTGGTGGCGTAGTGGATTACATGTTAGTCTTCTAACCACATGGTCAGCAGTTTGAAATCACCAGCTGTTTTGTGAAGAAAGATGAAGTTTTCTACTCCCCAAAAGTTACAGACTCAGAAACCAACTGGTCCATTTTTATGATAATGAGTTTTTCTCAAAATGTTCATTCCACTCTCCCAATTACCCACTGCTGTGATCCCTTTCCAAGAGTGGTCACCTGGTAACCCTGCTCTCTTTCTGTTCTCAGAGTGGTGGAGACTGAGCTTCATCCACCATATTGGTCCTTTGAACTCATCATTTCCATGCATGTTTATTTTTTTTCATTGCTCTTGGTTCTGGATGGGGAGAGACCAAGAGTAGTGCCAAAGCAGGCTGCTCACAGCTTTAAAACCTCACTTCCTACTCACAGCAATGTCAAGGAATTTTAAATATAATGTGAACTTCCAGAGGAATGACCCCATCTGTCGTGAACAAGTCCAGCCAGGAAGTTCAGTAGAAGTAAGGACAGTGAGAGACCTTGAGTCAAATACGTTGGACATAGTATCAGGACAGGTGAGGCCCTGAGGAAGGACATCATGCTTGATAGAGCATTAGAGAAAAAGGAAAACCCTGAATGTGATGGAGCGATGTGGGAGCTGGAACAATGGGCTGAAACACAGACGTGATGGTGACGATGGCACAGGACACAGCAGTGTTGTGTTGTGCTCTGTATAAAGCTGGTGTGAGAACAAACTCAATGGCATTTAATGACAAAAACAACCATCTCAATTCTGCTTTCATAGTTATTTGTTGCATAGGAAATGCAGCATTTGCTGCAGTGAAAGCAATGAATAGCATTGTCATGTCTAAGTTTTCTGTTCAAATATTTCTAAACAGTTTTAGTTATACTTTATGTCTCCAACTCTATAAACGCTTTCTCTCACTCTCCTTCAGATCCTGATCCTTTCAATTTGACTATTATACCAATATAGCTACAAATATAACAACCTTTTTCTTCCCTGATGTGTTTGTCTTTCAATATTATATATGTATTTCCGGCTCATGTATTTCCTTTTTAGGGAGTTTAGCATATATCTCAAATTTCTTGTGCTATTTTATTTCAATATTTGTTATTATTTGTTCTTGCAACTCATTTCATGTTTGCATGACTTTATGTATTAGTCTCTATATAACAAATCAACCAATCATACTTTTCCACATATTTCATTAGTTATTTCTCTCCCAAATTTCCAATCTTCAAATGCCCCCCTGCCTTTTTTTCGGCCCGATTGGTGATAGTATACTATTTTCTCCCACAGGAATAAACTAGGATTGACCAAGAATGGCGATTTATGTTTGAGAAGCGATGAACGGGACACATGTTAGCAACACAGTAGATTTCATCTTACTGGGCTTTTCTGACCAGCCCCACTTGGAAATGGTTCTCCTCGTGGTCATCTCTATCATATATATGCTCACCTTGTTCGGGAACACAGCCATCATACTGGTCTCACACTTGAACCCCAAACTCCACACCCCCATGTACTTCTTCCTCTCCAATCTCTCCTTCCTGGACCTGTGTTTCACTACCAGCATTGTTCCCCAGCTGCTTTGGAACCTCAAGGGCCCTGAGAAGACCATTAGCTACTCTGGCTGTGTGATCCAGCTCTACATTGCTTTGGGGCTGGGCTCCACAGAGTGTGTCCTCCTGACTGTCATGGCCTATGACCGCTTCAATGCCATCTGCCGACCCCTGCACTATGGCGTTATCATGCATCCCAAGCTGTGTCGACAACTTGCAGTGGTGGCCTGGGTCAGTGGTTTTGTGGAGTCCACAGTACAGACGGTCCTTGTTTTCCAATTGCCTCTCTGCAGTCCCCACAGAGTGGATGACTTTATGTGTGAGGAACCAGCCCTCATTAAAATTGCCTGTGCTGACACGACCTTCCTGGAAAATGAACTCTCCATAGCTATTGTCTTCTATGTAGTTATACCTCTGGGACTTATCTTGGTCTCCTATGGCTGCATTGTGAGGAGTGTGCTGAGCATCAATTCAGCAGAAGGCAGAAGGAAAGCATTTGGGACCTGTGGCTCTCACATGATTGTTGTGGTTTTGTTCTTTGGAACAATCATTTCTGTCTACATACAACCTAAGAGCAAGTACACGCAGAATCACAGTAAATTCCTCACCCTCTTCTATACTGTAGTGACTCCCTCCCTTAATCCTTTGATCTACACCTTGAGAAACAAGGAGGTGAAGTGCTCCCTGAAAAGGCTGCTCACAAGAGACCCAAGTGGGGCACAAATGTGAAATATACTCATGCATTTCTTCCTGAAATGCAGGGAACTTGTAGGAATCACCTCCAAATGGTTCCTCTTTTAGTTTAGGCGCATAGCTACATCACCTAAATAAACAAGGCAGTTGTGAACTATCCTTTTAATGATATCATGAAGTTATCTGCTCTAAATCAGATAAGTAAGCCTTACCTTCCTTTCAGGAAATGTTTTGTCTCCTTATTGGATGCTTTGTAAATACTATATGAAAAATAAATTGTTATTAGCACACGCATGTTCTTTGTAAGCTTTTATAAATCCTACAGTTATCATGCAAATCCCATTGATGTTGAGTCGATTTTGAGTCCTGGTGACCCATATGCCAGTAGAGTCAGGAAAACTGAGCTGCATTTGGTCTTGTTTTGTTTTTGTTTTTTTCTAGATTCTAATCTTTATAGAAGCAACTAGCCAGGATTTCTTCCATGCCACCGCCGAGTGGTTTAGAAACGGAAACGTTTAGGTCAGTGGTAGTGGGCAAAGCCTTTGCACTACCAAAGACTTCTCTGATGACTGACAAATGACACAAATGAAAAAAAATTATGCGAAACTCAATTTCATCCCAATTCTCTACTCCATGGAGGGAGAGCTCAGTTCACAGCTGCAGAAATATGGGATATTATGAGAATGCTCCCTATTGCTTCCCTGGTCCCACATCCAATAGTACTATAGTCAGTGGGTATTTTTCATGTAGTTTGGGTGAAAGGGTGAATGTTAATCAGAGGTTGCACAGATACCTAATTGTTTGAATTTGATCCCACATAGATAGAACTTAAAGAGCACAGTGTTTAAGGCAGACATCCTGCAAAAGTTAAACTAAACTATTGTTTGGCTTTAAGAAGCCATCAGTGAATATTTTTGGTTTAAAGTTTAATATTTGAATACTACCTTAAGGCAATACTTCCTTCTTAGCTCCAGAAAATCTGGCTTCCCTGAGAAATGGAAATTCTGATTTCTTTTTGAGCAGGAATGTCTTCCAAAATACTTCATCAACGTTCAATAGTGATAGGCAATACCCAAATGTAACAGTCTTGAGACTGTGGAATCAACCGTTCATGAAGGCAATGAGCCACGCATTTCATTTCTTCTTACTATTTGTGACTCCACCTCTTCTGTTGCCTAGGCAAAGGCAAACCACGTATTGTATCTTGAAAGGCCAATAACACTCTTTTAAGGACTCTGGCAGTAAGCAGTGCACAAGGATGTGCTAGGCTCAAACACAAGATTAAGTCAATTACCATATTTTTACACCAACAACGGGAACCTCTGTTTGATTGCCATGAAATCTGCACCACCACCACCATCCCGCATATTTTTGCAAGCATTCCACTGTAATTTTTTCACGTTAAAAAAAAAGAAAAAAAAGCATCCCAAATTCCACTGCCACCAAAGGTTTTCCAACTCATTGCAATCCTAAATACGGTTATGGGAGCAGATAGCCTCGTCTTTTTCCTGAGGAGTGACAGACGGGTTTGAACCACGAACCTTGGATTTGGTCATCCAAAGTTTAGCCAGCAGCGTCCCAAGAACCAAAAAATTAACCTGTCATTTAGGAAACCACCTCACAGGGGGTGGAGCACAGTTGGCAAGCAAACATAGCACGTGGGTGTGTGTGAATTGCGCAAAACATGATTGTCAATCTCCACCCCAAGGATTTTTTGCGTACATAAGTAACTTCAGTAGCTACCCTCCCCATTTTGAGTCAATATTAAAAATATATCGATCACTGAACTTTCACTGATTCAACATTTGACAGTTGTACAACTGATTGAAGGTAGTTATAGGACAGTTGTACAACACTACCCTTAACCAATCCAGTTTTCCCATTACTCTAAACCAGCACTCAGTACTCCACGAGAAAGAAGCCTCCTCCCCCAGTTCCTCCTGCCGCTATTAAAGCTATATATAATTCGACTTCTATATATTTTGTATATAAATGTGGTCATGCAATCTTTGTCCTTTTGTGATTGGCTTATTTCACTCAGTGTGGTATTTATCTTCGCCATCCTAGTGGGATCTGTCTAGTATTTTTTTCCTAACTTTTTGTTGTGGGTTGGGAGAAAGTACACACAAAAAAGTCAGCTTTCCATTCAATAAGCCCTACACGTGCTGTTTGATGCTGCTGATTGCAATTCTGGCATTGAAACATCAGCATCCCACTCAGCGCTGTGTAGTCTTTCTACCGTGCTTTCTTTCTGAACCTTCCTTGCCTTCTGAACTTTGTCCCTGGGCGAATGCTGTCCCTTTGATCTCAAACACTTGATTGTTCCAAGGAGTGTAAACCTCTCAAATATTACTGTTCATCTTGTAGACCTGTCAGTCCACCATTTGGTTGAATATGAAACCACTATGCAGAGTTCAGGCCTAAAGGATGATTAAAGGCCATATTTTTAGTCGTTCAACCAGTCTATCTAATCAGAAAGTCAGAGTTTTTGGTGTTTATGTGATTTTTAATTTTGTAACACATTTTTCACCCACACAAACCACGACCTTCTAATGTGATCTCTTTCAGAGCAGTGAGTAATGGTAACCAGGCACCATCTAGCTTTTCTGAATAAGACATCTGAGACTAGAAGCTCAGGTTCATATGAACCTTTGGACCAACGAGTTTTATGCATCTTTG